GGGCTCCCTTTAAACCAACTTCCTCCTAACGCCATCCGCTTCATGACCACCTTCATCATTCTATGCCATGTCCGGTTAGGTCGATTCAACCAAGCCTTCTTCCATTACTGCTACGCCCCTTCTAAACAGGCACGAGGTCTTTACCTCAAAAGCCGCAATAATGCCCACTTCCTCTCAGACATCCTTCCAACATCCCCAAGTGGGCAGATACTTTTGCCTACATCCAGCCTGATACCCCTTTTCCTTGAGCGCCCTCTCCTTGGATCAAGGAACTCCCCCGCGACATCTCGAACCCGTCTCCAAACCCCTTTTCGACCAACGGATTCACGTTTGGTATTCCAAACCCGTTGCATCCACCACTCTGCTCAAAGATGACAGCCTTCTCCACTATTGTGGCTTGCTCACCCACAAGGTCTTCTCTCCACCCGCTGACAAAGTCCTTGATCTGATTAGGATTGAGGACGATCCAGGTAATTTTCGACCAACTTGCTCGAGTATCTGCATATTTTCTTGTTTCTCGTATGAGTGTGTCTTGTCGATGTTGATTTTAATTTTTCTATGTTCCTCTTGCAGAGGTGCCCAGCTTCCACATTCCTCCAAGGAAGACTCCTATGAAGAAGAAATCTGACTACGGGTCCACCTCTGGATCAGACGGGCATCAGGCCAATCAGGTCGATCATTCGACCACTTTCTTCGGGCCTCAGCCGCAGGAACAACAACAACAACAACAACAACAACAACAACAACAACAACCACCTAAACAATCACAGCAACAACAACCGCCGCCCAAGCAACAATAACAATAACAACATAAGCAACAACAACAGCAACAGCAGAAGCAACAACAACAGCAACAACACCAGCCACAACACCAACAACGCCAACAAGAGCGACAAGCCCCACCTCCTCCTTCTAAGACCACTGCTCGACCACCGCCCGAAAATACCGACACTAAAACCTCAACCGCCCCTGAGAAAACCGGCACCAAAACCTCGACCACCTCCAAAATCGATACCAGTCAATCCTCCTCACAAAAGACCAACAGCCAAACCACTGCCTCCCATACTAAACCAAAGGACCAGTCTTCCGAACACCATACCTCGTCCAAAGCCAAAACTCAAGACAAACCTCCCCTCGACCAATCATTCTCCAAAAACCCCTCTGCTGGCTCGACCAAAACCGTGGTCGAGTCCGGTGGCCGAGATGACCCCGGGCTTGATGTGGCCCTGGGGAAACGTCCTCACACCGATCAACTAGAGACGGTTTGGAAGCGCGTGCATACCAGCCATACTCCGTTTGATCCCCTGGCCCCGAGGTCCTCTTCTCTACTGGTGGCCCATGTGAATGAGGTGGTCGATCGCCTCGAGGGTGCCTTCCTTGAGGACGACCGCAAAGATGCTGGCGTCACCCTGCCAGAGCTTGGTGACCAGCTCGTAGAATGGCTTGCCCAGGTATTGTTCGTACCATGCATGCTTTGGTTTTCTTCTGTCATCTTTCCTTGCTATGTATATACTGAGCTGTTACTTTTCTTTGGTAATAGGGCTTGGTCAAATTTTTACCTTTGGCTAAGGAAGCTCGAGATAGCTCTGGGAAATCCATAAAGAATCTCGTGGTCGTCCTCGACTCTTTGCAGGATAAGAATGCAACCCTCCTGCAGCGCAATGCTAAACTCCGCGAGACACACACAGAACAGAAAACCAAGTTTGATGTCAAGATTAACTCCCTTGATGGAGAGCTCAGTAAAAAGGACAAATCTCTCGCGGAGAAAGATGTCGTGCTTGCAGTGAAAGAGGTGGCAGTGGCGGAGAAAGAGGCTGCTCTGAAAGCAAAGGAAGTAGCACTCGAGCAGGAGCGGTGTTGTAGCAATTTTTTTTTTATTTTTACCGAGAACCGAATCAAAAGATTTGTTCCCCGGGTCGATCTCTTAAGGAAGACGTTTCGGAATTTAGCGTTGGTATTGATCACACACGAAAAGAAAATAA